TATGACGTGTATTTGTAATGATCTCCACGCATCATTTCGTTGCTCGCATTTTCGCCTGTCTAAAGACCGGTCGTTAAGGTAAGATCTCTTCTTTGAAAATTTCTTGTTGTTTTATCGTAATGAGACACAGCTTGTAATATCTAACTTTCGATTCAAGGTGACTTACGTGCTTGATCAGTATTGACTCAAACCAAATAAGGTTTGATAACTCACTTGCCAGTTGCTGATGTTTTATAATAGACCAACATCAGGAATTACCATCGAGTGATCAAGGCGGCTTTTCTAAGGTTTCATAGTATTCGTAATTTTGTTCCCGATATAGTATCAATTTTACTATATTCAAGGCTTTTCATGATGATGCGCCATAAAGGTTTGCCCAGCTAACTTTAAAAACTCTGCGGAATTTTACAAAATTAAGCAACGTCTCTTGTGGATATCATTCCAACAAAACCATTTCGATTTGAAGTAATGCGGTGATATTCTGCGCAACTTTTCTCTAATAAATGCTACACCGACGATGTATTTTTTATGATGAAATAATCCAATGTGCGTGTCATCATTATAAATGTTCGTGACTGAGAAAAAAGATACGACTGGTAATGGCAAACGAGAAAAGGAAACTCTTCAAACTTTTCAGTTTCCTATCATTCACATATCAACCTTTTAGAACATCTGCAATAAGGTTTCTGAAGTATATGTTTCTGCCGGTTTGCCTTCTGCCTCAGTAAAGGTTATGGTTGGCTTCTTTTCAAACAGACTGAATTGCGAATGTTAGATCTTACTGATCTTACAAGGTTGTGGGCCAATTTGGTTTTAGATCTCTCTTAAGTAAGTCTTCTACTCCGAGGAGGTGCTTTTTTTTAAATTTAAGCTGAATCATTTTTTTACCGATATTAGCGGTTGTATGCGCTAGAAAACAATTAAGTACTTTAAAAAGTACTTGCCGATTCATAATAGGTCTTCCATTCAACCTTTGTGTTCTTTGACGTATGCAAAATTCTTCAAGACTGACTCACTGAAAACAAACAAAACAGGAATTAATGCAGAAGTCATTGCGAGTTTGCCCTCAGGAGTTTACCTCTCAAAAAAATTTTGATTGCCTTCCGGAGGAAAAAATGTTAAGTTTTGGAAATGCAGGAGTAAGTGATGAATTTGGGGATTTCTTACGAAATAACACACTTTAGGTTTATTTTCAAACGTGAAGCATCTTTTTTGGTAAACAAAACATAAAAGAAATTCCGCCGACATAACAAGAATAGATATAAAGAAACAGGAATGAAGCCTTGAGGGAACATAATCAAAAAGGTCTGGGTCGTACCTTGCATTCCACAATCCATAGAGGAAAAAGCATTTTCCTGTCAGATTATACGTTTGCGAAGCTAACCGTAAAGCGAACGTGATATGCATTAAGTCAGTTACAAAGGACTGGACAGCTCGTTCATAGGAACTAAACTAAGATCGTATGATGCACGATCCTCGCAGTAGATAGAGCTATTTAGGCAATAGCGAAAATCAGACCTGAAAAAAATCAGGCCTGTACGGGATTCGAACCACTGACCTCTGCGATACTAGTGCAGCGCTCTACCAATTGAGCTAACAAGCCAACTGGGAGCAGGCCGTTAAGTTGATTCGTAATAAACCTATCTACTGCGAGGATCGTGCATCATAGGTATCTAATACCGCAGTTCAAAATATATGAACTTCATATATTTCATTGAATCTAAACTAAGATCGCTACCCCTTCCAGATAAAAACAAACTTAATCTTTCAGTAAAAAATAAATTTCGTCAATTCTTACATGTTCTGGTCCGTTTACTTCTTTTAATTTTCATTTTAAATCGTTATAAGTGTTTCGTCATTAAACTAAATCATGCTTTCCACAAACGTGACGATATTTTGAACAGCTCCATGTTAATTTGCATTTTGCGTTCATCATAGACACCACGCACGCACAAGCTTAAAATAACTCTATCAGTGTTATGTAAGCTGACAGCTATTACATGTGAACACACAATTTTCAGTAGAAATATAAAGGAACAATAATTATAGATCATTATCACTGATTTCTCAGACAAAGCGTTGTCTCGTTGCTCAATAACAACTATCCCGTGTTAGTTTAAAAAAGTTTACCTTACTTTACTTCTTTATCAAGCATAGTGGACCAACTTTTCAAAATGAGTTTATTCATTTACGGCCTGAACCAAAACGCTTAACTGGCTCTTCATTTACTCACGGAGTATATCAAAGAAAAGATTTTCGCTCTGTTAACTCTGTTATTTTCATCACGATTGTATAGTCTGGCGGAGTTGAGGCTCACAGCCATGAGAAAGAGGTGGTCTACAAACCTTTCCTGCATATAAAGGGAAATGAGGTTAAAGTAAATGACCCAGTAAATACCAGAGTGAAGATCGTGAATACCACTTATTCCTGTCGGCCGATAAACGTCTGTGGGTACTTAAATCATAGATGGAGATGCATCACTTAAATTATCGCTTAAGATGGTTTTTTTGCATAATGATTATCATTTTGAGTGTTTATTTAAAACAACATAATATGTTTCGCACCGCGGGTTAGCCTGCTACTGTAGTAGAAGATACACCAGGAAAAAAAGCGTCCACGGGATCTACCAGTTGTTTTAAACTAGTTTTAATACGTAATACCACACAAGCTAGCTAGTCAACTGAAAGCAAACGAATACAAGTGAGTCGACTAAGCACTATTCCGTTTCAAAAATCACAATTCTTTAGGAACAGATACTCGATTAAAAACTTCCTCTATATATTTTAGATATACTTACAATTCTGTAAGGCGCAATCCCGTTTAAGACAGGCTATTTTCTATTTGTAGAGACACGATCATACTGCTTCAATAACAGAATTCTCTACTTTTTTGATTTCCAATTGATTTCCCCCGATCACGTAGCTAAAAGGCTCGCTCCCATATCATTGGCCCAGCGCTAATGTGGTTAAAGGATTATATTCGATGAGAAAGGAAAACAGACGCGCGTGTGCTGTCTTAGCCACAAGTATCTAAAATTAAGCATTTGTCAACGGCGTGTAAAACATAATACTTGAAAGCTTTATTGCACGAAAGCAAGTTTAAAGTATATGTTGACATTCAAATCAATTTGGATACTAAAGAGATGTAGTTGAATGGAACTCTCGAATAGACGCATACTTCGCAAATCATAATATCGTAGTTTTAATCGTCGTTATAACGAAAAAAAAGTAGGTATAGGAATGGTTGCTCTCTTTGAGTAACGTGATTCTTCCGAAAATTCAACTGCGAATGCTACCATCTCGATAAACAACTACACTAAGATTCACTCTGATAAAGCGGGACGAAGGCTCGAAGCGTTAGCTTTAGGATCTCTTTACGGCGACCACTTCAAATTAAAAGCTAAATTATCTTTCAATACCCCCACCGACGAGACACCACAATTTCTGTGGAAATTCACCTGATTTTGGCAATTTTTCTCATGATATTATATATATAACTATGATATACGCTCTTCAGCTCCTCAAGGTCCAGCGTTGTTGTCATTCTTTGCCATCAGTCTACCAATATTCATTTCGTCTCCTTAATGGACCTCACAAAAATGTACTTCCGTTATAATTCATTCAAAAAGTTCACGAATTTACTTGCACAAACTTACATCGTGGTTCGTATGGTGAAGAAACCTAACTAAAACCACACGGCCTTTTTTCCGGACCGATTGAGGAATAGGCATAAAAAGGACCAAGTTTAAATTCTACAAACTATTGAGGTCACGCAAAAAAATTATATATTTTTTTCCTCTTAGGTCACATTCTTGTGTTGACATTTTAACGGTTATTTGTTCTCTCTTTGCACAGAAGCCATCACGCAGAACATTATAAAATCAAGCAATTTACCTCATCTACTTCAACAATCGTTGGCACTCTGTCGACCGCCTTATGATAATGATTGCTCAGCGTCTGAAGAGACAATTTGTTGCTCTTGTTGCCTGCATTCTGATTAGTATACCGGATGGTACGTTGATTCTTTCTTTCTTTATTCCTGCTATTCACACATTATTTGTTAAAAGGGTGGCCCCAACTAAAGTTATATTGATGCAATTAAAGTGTAAAATTTGTATCGGCAGGCTTTGCAAATACAACAATGACAAATATGATGATGTCCTCCACTGCAAGTGACGCGACATCAATGATGCATATGATGTCATCCCCATCTGCAAGCAACATGCCATCAAGGGAGCAAATGATGTCATGGTCATCTGGAAGTAACATGTCATCAATGGACCATGCGATGTCATCCCCTTCTGCAAACGACACGACACCAGTGATGAATATGACGCCATCCTCATCTGCAAGTAACATGACATCAATGGTGCATATGATGTCATCCTCATCTGCAAGTAACATGTCATCAATGGACCATGCGATGTCATCCCCTTCTGCAAGCGACACGACATANATGTCATCCTCATCTGCAAGTAACATGTCATCAATGGACCATGCGATGTCATCCCCTTCTGCAAGCGACACGACATCAGTGATGAATATGACGCCATCCCCATCTGCAAGTAACATGACATCAATGGTGCATATGATGTCATCCTCATCTGCAAGTAACATGTCATCAATGGACCATGCGATGTCATCCCCTTCTGCAAGCGACACGACATCAGTGATGTATATGACGCCATCCCCATCTGCAAGTAACATGACATCAATGGTGCATATGATGTCATCCTCATCTTCCTTATCTGCAAGTAATATGTCATTAATAGACCATGCGATGTCATCCCCTTCTGCAAGCGACACGACATTGATGATGGATATGACGTCATCCTCATCTGCAAGTGACATGTCATCAATGATGCAAATGATGTCATTCCCGTCTGCTACTGATACGACGACAAAGATGGCTGTTATGCCATCATCATCTGCTAGTGAAGTGGTTTCGACGGCAGCGCCAAAGCCTACGTGTTCTCCAGGATTTACTGGAGGGAATTGCTCTACAGGTAAGTTATGAAATGCATTTAGATTTTGTTTTCTATACATGACCAGCCCCCATTAACAACACTAATCGCTGCTCTTTTTATTCATTGTCGTAGATATTAATGACTGTGTACACGAAAACTGTTCAGGAAATGGTCTTTGTATTGACAAAGTAAATGGCTTTGTATGTGTTTGTAACGATAATTACTTTGGAGAAAACTGTGAGAAAGGTAAGTGTCGTTAGATGTTCATTATGAGACTTTTACGTTACGAACTATTTCCTACCTTTGCGATATAACAAGAAATATCTGACTGAATTTAAGTGGTATCATTTGAAGGCAAAATACTTTTCTCTGTACGTGTCACTAGTCTTGTATTACTCAAAATTTTGAATTAAGCCCACATCTCTTTCGTTTTGAGGTGTTTTCATGGTGGAGCCGTATCATAGGATATCATCAATGATTTTCGTTAGCTTTCGTGGGTGGAAACGTTTTAGAGTTGAAGGCGATGGTCAAAAAGGAGAAACTTAGCGAAAGCTTATAAATTCCTGGTACAGATTTCATCTGAAATTTGAAAATGTACTTGGTTATACCGACTGACGAAATATGTGTAACATATGTACTTAGATATTCCATCTTAATTCCATCTGAGTCATTCGCGTCTTTACCCTTAGAACTCAGAACCTGTAACCCAAACCCATGCGAAAATGGTGGAACTTGCAAAAAGGATGGTGTAACGTTTAAGTGTATATGTACTCCGGCGTTTGAAGGGGAAACCTGCGTATCAGGTAAGGGCGAGTCTCTCTGGCACTTCTCGTTCCAGTGATATATCGTTCCAGCGAAATACCGCGTGTACATATGGAATTTCCCGTCGAGTGTTCAACTCATTATATCTCACGAGTGAAGGCAGCGAACGAGTGAGACATCAAGTTGAACGCAAGAAGCGAAATTTCATATCTGCAAACAAACAAGTAATATTTCAGTTTGTTATATAAACACGATAGGTGTTTACTGACAAGAAAAGCGAACTATATCAATGAATGAAGTGAAAAGGATACACTATCCGCGAAAAACAAAATCGTAAAATGCTGGGGCGATAAGGCTCAAGGTTAAAAGATAAGACGAATAATTGCAACAAAAAGTAATGGGTGTGCCTTTCAATGCAAAAAATTCTCAGATATCGAATTTTTACACACACACCGACGAAAGGAATCTGCTCGGGTACAAAGCCGAAATTGGCCATTTGGAAATCTACTAGTTGTTAAAAGTAACGCCGTCAATAAGGTCAAGTTATTTTTGGCGGCCAGAGGGTAAAAAACAACATTTATCATCGAGTTTTGCTATAAAAAGCCTTCAGTCGTCGTTTGAGGGCTCATAAATATCTAGATGAGTACTTATTCTCATGCAAGGACTGTTCAGATTGCAAAATCTCAGCGGATGTCACATTTTTTAACCACGTTACAATATTCTTGGCCGCCACTTTAATACTACGTCACGCAAAAGCTTAAAAATTCAACGTTGCTATATCACAAGAAGAAAACCCCTATCTAACTGAAAATTGTGAAAAAGATACGTCTTAGCGTATTCTGACAACTAACTTTACTATAATAGCTCCTTATTTCTTTTTACTATGACGTGATAAACAACCCTCAATTGAGAACGTGAAACACTTAACCATTCATTGATCGACCATGCATGGCGGCACGAAAGGCGAGTGACAAGTCAGCAGCTGATTGACGATATCAAACCGTGACACACGTGAAAAGATATCATTATCTGACAAGTGTATTGTTAGAGCTTTTCTTAGGGCTGGAAATCCTTTTAGAACACCGCAGTTTATATAGTAAATGATAATTATAACATATAGCGTGTCATCACGACGTATCGCTCGAGCGAAATATCACTAGATTAATTGTATAGGGAGGTGGATGTCAACCTGATATATCACTCTGATGCTTTATAGCCACGGTGATTAAAGTTTGGCAAGTGTGCAATCTTGTTTCCGTGAAATAAGATGAAGACTTTTCAATCATTCTCCCACTTTGTTTAAATGGTTGTAAACAGATTAAAAATCTCGCCCTCCTTACATACCGCGTTGCTTGGTTTGAACCAAATTGACGAGTAATAAAGCACGCGCTTCGCAGAAACTCGAATGCATTTGACAAACATTGATATAGACTTTGCAATTTGGTTGAAATCTATGCCAGTATCTAGAAAAAAATTCAAGACATTGTTTTGAAGTGTGGTCTCGTTGCAGCGTCTTAAGAATTTTGACAGTTTTAGGATAGAGATTTTCCAACCAGCAAGACTTGTCTTTCTTTCCAAAAATTCGAAGTTTCTTTTTTGGAACTTACCCCTCCCCCCCGCCCCAACGCAGAAGATGTCAACTGATGACAATTTGAGGTTAATGATAATTAGGGGAGAGATATGTGCGCAATTGCTTAGATACTGACAATGAGCACCTTATTCGAAAGAGTTGAGCGTTAGAAACAAAATCTTCATTCAGTTCGCTTCATTCAACAGCCGATCACCATGCGGATTTCGATTTCTTTCAACGCCAGTGCAATGATAAAGAAACGTTTCGAGCATCGAACAACACCAAGTGACTTGCATGTAGCGAGAAGTGGTCTCAGTGAGTCACTAACTAACGGAGTAGCAATATCTCGCCGACAGGAAACGACAAATCGCTAGACTAGATCGATATCTCGGTAAAATAAGGAAATCGAGATATCGCTAGTTGGCACAGACATATCGTTGGCTCTAAACGGAATATTGGCGGAGGGAAAACAATATATTACGGAACAGAAACGATCTATCGCTAAGCTACAACAGTATATCGCTTAGTTAAACTGACGTATCGCGCAGTGGAAACGATTCGAGAAGAGTTCAACGATATATGGCTGCGACTGATAGAGCAATATACATCCACAATATATCGTTCCAAATCAATTACCGTCGAAAAGTTGCGCTTTTCGCGATAATCGGCGACTATCGTTTGCATTGCTTTTGCACGGTAGTGTTCCCGTCCGTACCTGTACCCGACAACAGAGCACCATATTCACACAAAACGTTTACCCGTTTTGTCTAACAAGTTTATGTATTTTTGCCTTGCTACTTTCTTTGAATGAAAGTAGGCTGAAATTACACAGCACTTGACAACGAAAAATGTAAAAACTTTGATCCGTTTTAATGCGCGCTTTTTCTCCCCTTTCATGGATCTAGTACTCTGTTTTTCCTCACTGCTTGCGCTTGTTGTCGTCTTCAGTACAAAATCTAAGTGTTTGACTTGTATTTGATTCTAATGTGTCGTTTTCTCTGTTTCTCTTTTTTTTTAACGATTTCAATATGTTGATATGTTATTTTTGACCTCTTTTATACAGAGAAGCCTACTCAAACACTTGCCGGTACAATGGAATTGGATCAAGAGTATGACAATGCCTATGATGACATCAACTCAGAAGAATCTCGTGCCCTCAAGACTAATTTAAACCGTGTATTGATACCTTTTTTCCGAGCGAAATTTCCAGATTTAATAGGTATCAAATACAAGCGTTTTTTTAATGGAAGTGTTGGGGTTGACTATGAACTGATATTTCCAACAACTTCAAATGTAACCGCTAACAACATCGTTCAGGCTCTTAAGGATGGTAATGGAACAGAAGAACTGGGATTTTTGAATCTGACGGGAGATATAACCGTAACGAAGCAGGTTGTTCAGACTACAGTAATACCAACTGGAACCACAGGTAACTTAGTGTATCTTTTTATGATTCATGACATTTGTTACGTTATTAGCCTTCAATTAAGTTCGGGGTAATTTGATATGCTTAAAAGTATCCATCACCTAATCCTTTTAACTATACTTGTTCGAAATTAAGATCATCACATTTCGCTAGAAGTTCTCCATGGGCCACCTATACTTCTATGGAATATTTCCACTCAAGAGACACAATTTATGCTGAATTATGAATTATGCTAAGTCTGGGGTAATTTGATATGCTTAAATTTATCCATTACCTTCACCGTTTAACTACACTTTCCCGGTGAAAATCTTTGGAGGATCCATAAGGATCTTTAAAGATCTTCACGAGGACGTTTGAGGATCCTCCTGACAGAGGATCCTCATGAAGACCTTTGAGAAATCTACGAGGATGTTCACAATTCTTGTTAAGATCTTTAAGGATCTTTCATTTTCTTACCAGTATCTTCAAAGATCTCGGACTTTCTTCGCAAGAGTTTCCAGGATCTTGCATTTTCTTTCCAAAATCTTTAAGGATCTTCTATTTTCCTGTCTAGATCTTTGAGGTTCTTTTCGGGATCTTGAAGGATCTTCAAAAGATCCGACTGAGCACGCGTCACCTATATGATGTTGTGTTTTTCGATCGTCGGCATCCAGGCTTCTGGGATTTCAATTTTACTCCACTTCCCTAATTATCATGAATACTTCAGCAGTAACTTGAGAAATATACTGAAATAACTTACTGATCTTACTAACTAATCTAATCATTTTCACATTCTTGGTACAGATTTCATTTGAAATTTGAAAGTGTTCTCGGTTATATCGACTGACGAAATATATGTGTATTATATGTACTTAAATATTCCATCTTAATTCCATCTGAGTCATTCACCTCTTTACCCGTAGAACTCAGTGCCTGCAACCCAAACCCATGCGCAAACTATGGAACTTGCATAGTGGATGGTGAAACGTTCAAGTGTACATGTACTCGGGCGTTTGAAGGGAAAACCTGCCTATCAGGTAAGGGGGTGTCTCTCTGACACTTCTCGTTCCAGTGATATATCGTTCCAGCGAAATACCGCTTGTACATATGGAATTTCCCTTAGAGTGCTCAACTCATTATATCTCACGAGTGAAGGCAGCGAACGAGTGAGACATCGAGTTGAACACGAGAAGAGAAATTCTATATCTGCAAACAAACAGGTAATCTTTCAGTTTGTTATAAACTCGATAGGTGTTTACCTGACAAGAAAAGTGAACTATATCAATGAATGAAATGAAAAGGATACACTATCCGCGAAAAAAAATCGTAAAGTGGGGTGGCGATAAGGCTCAAGCTTAAAAAATAAGACGAATAATTACAACAAAAAGTAATGGGTGTGCCTTTCAATGCACAAAATTATCAGATATCGACTTTTTCCACACACACACCGACAAATAGAATCTGTTCGGGTACAAAGCCGAGATTGGCCATTTGGAAATCTTCCAGTTGTTGAAAGTAACGCTGTCAGTAAGGTCAAGTCATTTTTGGCGGCCCGAAGGTAAAAAACAACATTTATCATCAAGTTTTGCTTTAAAAGCCTTCAGTCGTCGTTTGAGGGCTCATAAATATCTATATTAGTACTTATTCTCATGCAAGGACTGTTCAGATCTCAAAATCTCAGCGGATGTCACATTTTTTAACCATGTTTCAATATTCTTGGCCACCATTTTAATACTGCGTCACGCAAAAGCTCAAAAATTCAACTTTACTGTCAGTCACAAGACGAAAACCCCTATCTAACTGAAAATTGTGAAAAGATACGTCTTCACGTGTTCTAATAACTAACTTAACTATAATAGTTCCTTATTTTTTTTTTACTATGACGTGATAAACAACCTTCAATTGAGAACGTGAAACACTTTACCATTCATTGATCGACCATAAATGGTGGCACGAAATTAAAGGCGAGTGACAAGTCAGCAGCTGACTGACGATATCAAACACACGTGAAAAGATATCATATTCTACAGGTGTGCTGTTAAGGCTTTTCTTAGGGCTGGAAATCCTTTTAGAACACCGCACCTTATACAATAAATGATAATTATAACATATAGCGTATCATCACGACGTATCGCTCGAGCGAAATATCGTTAGATTAATTGTATAGGAAGGTGGATGTCAACCTGAGATATCGTTCTGATGCTTTATAGCCACGGTGATAAAAGTTTGACAAGAATTGCAATCTTGTTTCAGTGAAATAACATGAAGAACTTCAAATCATTCTCCCACTTTTTTTAAGTGGTTGTAAACAGATTAAAAATCTCGCCTTCCTTACATGCCGCGTNTACCTACCCCTCCCCTAACGCAGAAAATGTCAACTGATGACAAGTTAAGGCTAATGATAATTAGGGGAGGGATATGTGTGCAGTTGCTTAGATACTGACAATGAGCACCTTATTCGAAAGAGTTGAGCGTTAGAGACAAAGTCTTTATTCAGTGCGCTTCATTCAACAGCCGATCACCACACGGATTTAGATTTCTTTCAACGCCATTACAATGATAAAGAAATGTTTCGAGCATCGACCAACAGCAAGCGATCGACTAGCATTTACCGAGAGGTGGTCTCAATGAGTCACTAACTAACGCAGTAACGATATCTCGCCGACAGGAAACGACATATCGTTAGACTAGATCGATATCTCGATAAAATAAAGAAATCGAGATATCGCTAGTTGGCAGAGATATATCTTTGGCTCTAAACGCAATATTGGCGGATCGGTAACTATATATTACAAAACAAAAACGATATATCGTTTAGATAAAATGATGTATCGCTCAGTGAAAACGATTCGAGAAGAGTTCAACGATATATGGCCGCGCCTGATAGAACAATATATATCGCCAATATATCGTTCTAAATCAAATACCGTCGATAAATTGCGATTTTAGCGATAATCGGCGACTATCGTTTGCGTCGCTTTTGCACGGTACTGTTCCCGTCCGTACCTGTACCCGACAACAGAGCATCATCTTCAGAACAAACGTCTACCCGTTTTGTCTGACAAGTTAATGTATTCTTTCCTTGCTACTTTCTTTGAATGAAAGCAGCCGGAAATTACACCGTGACTTGACAACGAAAAATGTGAAAACTTTGATCCGTTTTAGTGCACGCTTTTTCTCCACTTTCATGGACTTAGTACTCTGCTTTTGCTCGCTGCTTGTGCTTGTTGTCGTCTTCAATACAAACTCTAGGTGTTTGACTTATATTTGATTCTAATGTGTCGTTTTCGATGTATCTTTCTCTTTTTTAACTATTTCAATATGTTGATACTGATGTGATTTTTTACCTCTTTTATACAGTGAAGCCTACTCAGACACTTGCCGGTACAATGGAATTGGATCAAGAGTATAACAATGCTTATGATGACATAAATTCAGCAGCATCTAGTGCCCTCAAGACTGATTTAAACCGTGTATTGATACCTTTTTTCCGAGCGAAATTTCCAGATTTAATAGGTATCAAATACAAGCGTTTTTTTAAAGGAAGTGTTGGGGTTGACTATGAACTGATATTTCCAACA